TATTTTCATGTATATAAGGGTATTTGTCATCAACTAGCATCTGAATTACCCTCACAACTAAAAGCTAAACCGAAGCCTAGTGGAAAAATCTGATTACACCAGATTTGAAGACTTTAACTCAGATCTGTTAGAAAACATTTATGTGATTAAACAAACGTGCAAGTTTATTGCACAAATCAGTATGCAGCACCCTCACAATTTCATTTAGCTTATAAGAACTTTGAACATTATTCAAAATCTTGTTAGCTGAAGTATATTTATTTGTATATTGAGAGAGTCAGCTAGTGTTATGAAAATCACATGTAGGAAGATTGTTTTCTCCTGTCATTACTTGACAATTATTTTTAGGTATACACAACTATGCTTATAATCTCTATCCTACATTTTTAAAAAGCAGAATATATGCATTACAAATATTTCACGTGATACAAAGCCAGTCTGTCCACACGTTTTTATTATTATAAGAGATAGTTTCAAGATGAATTTTACCCCAAGCTTCTCAGTGGTACTTGCTGCTAAGCACTCAATTGTTAGAGATTGCTGGAATCTAATTGTAAGAGAGAAACATTCAACCAACCCTAAAAAAAAAATAACCATGGTTTAACTGGTCTTAGAGAGTGGACGTAACATCCCATTCAATATTATCAAATAATATTTAATAATTTACTTAATCACTTATTAAGACCCAACAATGTTTTTATGGCTATAAAACACATTCAACAAGTTTTACTGTGATAAAAACATCACTTTTTCAGAATAAGGTACAAAAAAAATTCAGAAGCTTCAAGTCCTCAGGAATATGGTTTAGTGATTTTTTTATTGCTTATTTCTTATTTATTTTTTTGTCAAAGTTAGATTGATGGTTGGACTAGATGTAAGGTCCCTTCCAACCTAGATGATTCTATGATTCTAAGTTACCACATAGATATCCAGCATAGATGATCCTAAGCTTTTAAGTTACACACACATATTAAATGAGTCTGAGAATTAACTCAGTACCACAACTAGAAAAGTAAACACCTTATCGATTCAGAACATAAAAAAGTTACAAAACTGAACTTAGAATCAAAAATCCTATTTAAAAATATAGAGCCTGTGGAATCAAAGACTGCTTATCTGCAGTGCTAAAACCAAAAATGTGTGCATTAGGAAATATTTTCAATATTAAAAAGCTGATGCTGTAAAAGTATAGGAGACTAACTGGGAACAAAGATAAACTAAGTACTGCAATAACTCCAATGGCTAGAAGTAACTACACTGACAACAAATGGAATTCACTTCCAGAGCAGATCTCATTTGTATCAAACTAAGAAAATTCCAATTGAGTAATCACCATGCATTTAGCATATTTAATATAAATTTGAACAATGTCTTAAAATGCATGAGCTTTACATAAGCAGTTCTGGAGAGCAGTATACAATTTAAGACTAAGGTAAAATAAAAACATACATGAAAATTGAATAGGAAAATAAGTTATTCCTCAATGATAAAACAGCAAAAAATCATGCATTTAAAAAACTCACTTTTTTAAAGGTCAATAATGAACACAGCAGAAAAATACACATATTTGTTGAAGGAATTACACTTTCTTGAAAAGATTTCATCTAGGCATATTTTGTACAACTATTAAGTTCTGACTGTGTAATGGAAAAGGTATCTTAAAAATAGTATGAGTTCCTCTCATGGACTTAAGATTAACTCAGCTATGTGTTATCTGAATTACATTTTTTTATCTCAACACAAATTAATCAAGGCAGAAAACCCAAATATTATTTGGATTAAAAACATCCCAGACCTTAGGAGTAGACCTCACAAGAGAAGGAACAGGAGATGGTTGGTTTTGTGGCTATGAACGTCTGAAGCTGAAAGTTTCAGACAATTGGAATATAAAGGTGTAAGACTGAAGGAAGTTACCAGGAATTAAGGATGTGGCCAACAATATATGAGACATTCAATGGCATCTGTGGACGTACACAATTTTATCCTTGTGTCAGATGCTTCTTTTACACTGAGGTACAAGCTAAGGAATCTTTCATTTACTTCATAGCATAAGCAGTGATGACAGTGTAGACAATACACTGTAAATTAACATATGTGGCACATCCAACAGCCTAAGAACTTTACCAGTTTACAGAGACTAATAGCCAAGAAAAATCATAAGGAAATAATTTGTGGACTGCACTAAGAATTTTGGCAATTAAAGCAAACAAGATTTATAAGTCAATTGGTCAAAAGAATTCCTGTTTTCCTAGACATTCTTTATTGTGACCTCATGAATGGCTTTGCATTGTTTTGTATAATGTAACTTGAGAAGTGATGAAGGAAAAATGTTTAATAGGTTTAGTTATTAAATAGTGAATATGTTTGTAGGCAACGACAACATAATAAGTCTTTACCAATACCTGTCAAAAGTAGTTCAAATTAGCATGGCTTTCTTCATCCCTTGGTAATGGTATCGACAGAAGTTATAGCCAAAGTATGCTGCTATCTATACTCAATTTTCAGATTAGAGGAGTCTAATCCTTGGGAATTAAATGTAAAGTGAAAAAAAAAAGTTCTTGCTCACCATAAAAGAACTTTTTAATAAGCTTAATTGGCACCATCACTTTTCCTCATTGGAACAGGACAATTTTTTTTCAGTATTACAAAATGAACAGAATAAGATAGCATCTAATATAGCTTATTAATCTCTTGCCAAATATTTCCAGTACAGAAGCTGAAAAATGTAATGATTTTAATTAATCTGATGTTTGTAAGTGATGAGCATTTTCTCTCCTCATTGTAGCCAATAGGAGTTACTAAAGCTGGGCAGCTTTGAACAGAAGGACAATTCCCATACTTCCAGATAAATTTTGGTGAGTAACTCTAAGCTACTTACATTTGAAACCATTGGTCTCTGGAATCTAAATCTCTCTAGGGACAGCACATTTACAATTCCAAAACTTAAACCCTTCTAAACTGATACACACAATTAATACACATATTTTGGTTTTATGTAGTGCTGGGGAAGCACATGGTGCTAAGCAATAACAAAATGTGTCAGTCCCCTACTACGATTTCTACCCCAAAGAGCTGAAAGGGCACAAGCTGTAAAGCACAGGAAATGCAAAACACAACACAACACAGACAGAATGACAAGTGGTTGTTATCACTGAAATGCGTTACAAAATAAGTGGATTTTCAGGATTTTTTTTTGAAGGAGGATAGTGAAGGATCTTTACGTACGTTAATTGGGAGGCTGTTCCATGTGTAGGAGGGCAGCGTGGAAAAAGACACAAAGTTGGGAGTGAGCAAAAGAGACAAAAGGGGAATTAAGAGCGATGCTTGGGAAGTGCTGACAGTAAAGGATATGAGGACCAAGGTTAAGCCAGAACCATGACAGCCTTGAGCATAGCTAACTTTATGCAAGGGAGGAAAAAGAATTCCTGGCAAAGGCTTAAGAAGCAAGGAAACATGGGCAATTATACAGGAAAGGAGAAATGATTTGTGTAGCATGTCCCATAGAAAAGAAAAAAATAAAGTTAGGAAGTGGGAGACCAGTTCACATCAAATAACTAGGGTAACAAACATTTCAGTCCCAAACAGTAGGAAATAATTAACTTCACTGAGATTATGACTAATACCCAGCCAGATGTGAGGAGTAGTAAGAACATTAGACTGCAGTGATTCTTTATCTAAAGCTGTTAAATCCTGTGAAAAATCACCACATAGTGTAAAAAACACATGCCCAAAATAAATTCAAATCGAAAATGTTAAAAAAAGGTGTTTTAAACATGCCATTCAATGTAGCCGTAAAATGTGTGTGTTGTGGCTGTTCTATAAAATGAGTAAACTCAACTGATGCACAAATAAATTCTGTCCATACAGGGTTTTAGCTGCCACATTGCTATTCATCATCATCACCAGTTGTGAGAAATACCCAAACTCTTTATGTACACTGAACTTTGATGAAGAAAAGTTTTAAAATACAAAGCTGCTACCCCATAAGAGAAATCAAATTTAAAAAAAAAAATTTAAGCATATGAAGGGGAATGAAACACCATGACATAATTTGTTCTGAACTAGAAGTATCTTTTTGCATGCTCTAGGTTTACTTTCCTTCCAGATTACAATTTACAAGTACATATTCATTAGCTCATGAGGACTAAGTACAAAAACCTGAGCAATTTTTCACTAGCACTAGTAATAGCAACTTCTACTGAAGCCTTAAAAAGTAGTACTGCAATTAATATTACCACTTCCTCTCCTTGCCAGTATTTCCAAAGGAATTATAAACTTATTGACTACTCTTACTAAGAGTTTGATATCTTTTAGGTTTAAACACAAATCCAGGTCAAAGCAACTCACATCATATCAACAGGTGTGGAACTTGAATGTTTGTACCTGAGTTCAACTCACAATGTCACTGATGTTCACCTCTACCTTAGAATAAATCAAATCATATCCTATTTTGCTGCAAACTTAAAAACAGACATCTAAGTCTCTACTCCTATTCCACGTAGTGGTAATCCATCAGTAGGCCCAATTAGCAGTGCTTACTTTTTTTTCTTTATTTTCTTTCCACTCGTACTGTCACAAATTCAGTCTAGAATTAGATGATTGAATGTTGGTCACTTGCACTATATCTCAGTGAGAGGACTCAACAAAGTCTCCCTTTTTCTGTTCTCTGTGTGCGTGCATAAAACTGCAGTAAAAAGAAAATATTAAATACATTTTCAACCACTATTTTAGAAGGTGTAAGTTTAGGAAAGCTTTCTTTAACTCCAGTTAAAGCCTGTAAGAAAATTCTTTTAGCTTCAAAATGAAATCTGAGTATAAAAAGCTCGACATAGCCTTTTGCAGTCTTTAAAGTGTACAAAGAACAGAATGTCAGTTAGACCCTTAATTACAAAGCAAGAAATGTCTGCATCTCTGCACTATGTGAAGGTACGCCACACACACTTGAGTTTGAACAAGCTCATATTACACTACCTCAAACACTCAGGGAGCTCTGTACTTACCCACAAATCATGTTCAGCATAATCAAAGAGCAGCCAAACTTTTCTGTCACTGTGAGAAAGGAAAACCTTCTGCAATGCAATCACGTTGGGGTGTTTCAACTCTCGTAAAAGCTGCAGAGAAACAGAGATACTCTTGTTACTTCTGTGCTTGTAAAGGAAAACAAACACAACAACCAAAAAAGAAAAAAAACACCCCACCAAAAAAAACCCTGGTCTTAGCACAAACGGCAAACAAGTAAACCTAAAACAGGCCCTAGAAGAAAAGATGCCACTGATGCAGCACACAGTCATTACACACAAATGTAACTCTTATCAAAGGTGAACATCAGGATTTAAGGATGCCAAAATGTGCAGCTGGTCCAATTCTTTGTGTGGAAAACACAGTTCCTGATCACCACAAAATTACTGTACTACCAATAATTGTATTTTGCATCAGATCCCTGCCTCACTTGCCTGGAAGTCTAAGGTATTGTTATTCTCAGAACATCAGGTTGTTTTCAGAGAAAAGTTTACCAAAACCCTTTTTCTAGTGTTTATTTCAACAACTGTCCTATAATCCAGAAATAAATCCAAATTATTTTCTGCTTGCCAGAAAAAAACTAGGTCTCATGACTAATTAGACAGCACATTAAAGCAGGCACCGCTGCTAAAGTCTCCCTTCTGCCAGATTAAATCAGCCCTCAGAAGGAGTTGGGAACCGCCACTCCCAAAAATATCATTTCCATGGAATCACTTTTTTCCCCCCCTCCATACTGCAGCCACAAGAATGATTGATCGCTTCTGTTTTATCTGAAAATTGCTTGCATCTGCAGCACTAGTATATAAATTGCCAAGAATCAATTTATAATGGCGAAACAGCAAATGGAACAGGTTCCAAGGCACATCTGAGAGAAATGAATCTTCCCTTTTTTCACGTTACAAAAAGAGACTCAAGATGTTTATTTTCGAGAGGAAAAAAATAAGGAAAAGGATTAATTTTAAATTATATTATCCTTCGGCTATACAGATATCTGTCAAGACAAGAAATCTTCTAAAGATTATTACAACCACTTAAATCTATTCCAGTTTTCCAGCAAATTAAGTCATTTAAATGCTTTTTCTACCATGAAGGAAATGTTTTCCTTTTGTTTCCTGCTGTCCCTAACACCAAGCATTTCTAGCTGTAAAAGAAAGAAATTCCTCCCTAATGACCAATCAATAGTTATGCCCAGGTATCACTTATGAGATACAGTAACAATTATTTTGTCACTTAAACAGTAAAAACTTGCAGAATTATAAACTAACAAAACCCTAGAGATTAAAATTGTCTCTCTTTGACACGTATCAAGAGATGTTGCTGGATACCTTGCCTCTCGTAATATTAGAAACTGTTTTGTAGTGGTGATTTAATGTGATGCCTCTACCTTTTTTTCTTTCCTTTTTTAATAAACAGTTCTTTTAATTTTAGGATAATTTGTAAACTAGGGGAGGAAAAAAAACAATATAGTAGGCTCATTCTTTTTTTTTAATTGTTATTAGATTGTTCTTAAAGACACTGTTGGCAGCAACAGCAATATAAAAAAATTTCAACTTGGGTTGGATTATTTTTTTTTTTAAAAAAAAAAAAAGATGAAATAAAACATTCTCTCAAAATAAGTAAAACTTTGTAGTAAGAAACAGCCAAAGAAAATACAGTTCCATATCAAATGCTAGCATATAATAAACAAGTTAACAGAAATATTATGTAGCGCATAACAATAGAAAGAATGCCTAGAATGTTGTGCATTAAATTGAAAGGTGCTATAAGATAAGAGAGGAGTGTGTATGTTCTGCCGCTCTCAAACACCACTGCTCACACCAATCCACACAGAGAAACCCTACGTAGCAGTGGTCACCATCCATCAGAACAGCCTGATTAATAAATGAAAACTGACACCTTTTCACACAACTTGTGAAAAAGGACAGTTTCATATTAAGGAAAGTGGTAAATTTCTTATCCAAACCAACAGTAACATACAGTCATTTACAAGTAAGTTATTTCTAATGAATTTTTCTCCTCTTTTGATTCAGCTTAGATGACAAAACAAGCATTCTTATCCAAACCCAGCATTTTCCACATGGTGGAATCAAACTGTTATTGGTATAATCTTAAACACAGATTTCTGTAAAAAACATGAGAACTTGAGGAAGAAATCATCATATTATTGTTATACTACAGATGTTCAGTTTCTAGCGAAGAATGCCTGTATCTGACCTGAAGCTGAAGAATAGAGCACTTGAACACCAACAGCCTCTGCAGTAAAGTTCTTATAAAGCTGTATTTTTCAGCTACTGTAAACCCATTTGGAGACTGGGTTAATTCAAGTCTAAAGCTAGAAAGACTAAATAAGGTATGTCCTAGTAATTGAAAGATCCAGCATTCCTGACAACATTTTGTCACAAGGTAACAACCTGAATGTAAAAAGTATTTGCCAGTGCTAGAATTTATTACAAAGTCAACAAAGCATCATATTTTAATAGCACTTTAGCTATGTTACACAACATTTCTTTCTTGGTAACAGCATGCAAAACAGGTTAGGCAGAAAGTCATTGAGGAGGACATCATTCTGGATTGTCAGTATCTGTGCAACTTTGACTGTCCCATATAACTTCTTGTAAACATATTAGATTATTTTTTTTTAATTATTCTTCTGGTCATGAGAATCATACAAGCACCTTTGCTTGTTGGAGCTCTTGGTTGATGCCATGGTGTCAAATTTTAAAATGCTCTTTCAAATAGCACAAAACAGCTTGTAGGATTCCAGACAGCTACACAGTAGATGGAGAATTGCTAGTCATTTATTCTGATGAGTATGTTCTCTCACATGGGACACTGAGCATTTCCTTCACAAGTGAATGTCTCTTACAACAGGAGAAGGGTGAGGATCATGATGGGAAAGTCTCTGATGCCTGAGAAAAAGTTAAATTGGCAACAGAATTGGGAGAGAAGCTTGAAGCGTTGGAAATGTAAAGTGTCAGCAGTCAAGCTGAGTTAGACTTTGCATGGAAAGTCAAAATAAACAGAAAAGATTGTCTCGCCAGAGAAGGAGCACAAGAGAGTGTGAGAACACAAGAATAAGAAAGTAAAAGTGGGATATCATATAGTTTAAAGACAAAAATAAAGATCTAAAATATTTTACCTGAGGTTTTAATGACAGCTACAATATTGATCATGGCAAGAACAAACACACACATAAAGGAAATGCTTCACATTTGAAAAAGGGAAAATAAGCACAATTAATATAAAGAAAGACATGTTAAAACAAAACTATCCTGATTTTCTTCTCTGATAACTGAGTTTTACACAGACAGAATATCTGTGTTCAAATGTCACCTTTGTAAGAGCATTAACTACTTGTCAGATGGGAAAGAGGACAACTGGAAGAAGCTTGAGGTGAGCAAGAAACTACTTTAAAAGGCAACTGCTGACAGAAAACATTTCAAGGTTCTATATATTAACTATTTGGAGAGTTACCAAAGAATAAGTGTTGTGATTATTAATACAACCCATCTTAGCATCAAAATTATGAGTGTGAATGGAATTATCTGATTAAATAAAGGCAGCATTTGCAATAAACGAGTGCTATTATATATCATCTTTTACTTTACTTTATGACTGAATAAACAAAGGGTAACAGAAATGGGATGAAATTAACAGCACAAAGTCTGAATTCAGGCACTCAGAAACTAACCAAGAATTTCTACTACAGACTGGGAAGTCACCAGGTGAAATTGACAGAAGGCAGAACTGGATTACTATAAAACAAAGACAATTAAGAGGGGAAATTTGATATTAGATATACTAGTAGATGTAGAGAAAACAAAGAGATGTATTGATATCAATACATAAAGGCTTCTGTGATATATTTTTTTTAAATACTATATATATTTTTCTTTACCTATGCTCAAACAGCTCACCCTACACACACACAGAGATGAAATCACTCTGACAGAGAAGTGATCAAAGGAGCAAACAATCTATCCCTCAACAGGGAGGAAAAAGCTTGCTCAATTACTGTAATAAATCAAATATTGAAAGGAAATAAGATTGATATCCACTAAAACACAAAGGCATGAGCACCAAAGATGAAAGACATAATTACGCTAAATGGGAATGATGGTTCAAGAATAAACAGATACAACTGGTTACAGATAAATTTACCCCGCAAGATGCCATTTGTGAACAGGAAGGTTCAGGAATAGGTTTTTAATAGCAGGGAAACAGTGTATCTCATTTGCAGCTTGGTCATCATTGGGAAAAAAATTACTTAATTTGATATAACAGTCAGCCAATAGATTCAGTGATATAATGTCTATGTAGTACATGCTTTTATAGAAGCCTTCCTGAAAGGTGGGTTTGGTGAGGTTTTATTGATCATTTCCAGCAGATGAAAAAGACTGTGTACTGACTGACAGGCAGCTGCTACAGTAATTTGGTTTCAACTCTTTGAACTGAGCCTACAAAATTGTCTGTCACCAGTAACTTTTACATGAAGTGGACCAGCACCTAGGAAGCCTCTTGCTTCTTTGAGGTATAGAAAATTCTGCTTTGTTCCTACCAAAGAGAAAGATAACTTCTGTGTGTGAGACAGAAGAGTTACACTGTTCCTAATGTAAACAACATCATCAATTATGAAGGCGTTTAGCACGTTTAAAAATAGTCAGACAGTACATTCCTTGAGGAAACAACTCTTGCACACAAACACTTTTTCATCATAGGATGAATAACACTTTCTAGCTACTACCTACAAACAGGGTGAGGACAGATGCTTTCATCTCACTGTGAAGGAAACTTAAGAAAAATTAGAGAAAACAGGAAGACAAACACTGTTCTCACTACTTACACTAGTAAATCTTGCAGTAAATATGTATTTCTGTGTTAGCGAAGACAAAACCCATATTCATCTCCAGAAATTTATTCTGAGCAAATCTCAGGTATCTAAGAAGTGTTCCTATCTTTCATGCAGTTTACTCCAGTCTTTTGATCTACGTAGTTAAGCTGATCTGAAACAATCTGGTAGTTTCTTTGATGGAAATGCACTTAACCATTTTCACAGTTAGAACCAAAACCTTTAACTGTCAGAGATGTGGAT